ACACGCCACAACAGTCCCCTCTCTACTAGTATTACTACTAGTCACTACTATCACTAGTGGTATTACTCTTAGTATGCCTACGTAGCTCATCCATGGTAATTAGTCTGTGCCTGTGAGGCGTCGCTAGATGGACTTCTCACCCACGGCTTTTCTGTCCCCGCTTGTCGACTGTTTAGCTGCCGCTCACTGGTGCTTTGGTTGCTCAATGCTTGCTAGGAAAAGTAGCTGGTAGCCATCCATGTTGGAGCCCATATGATTTCGTGCGAACTCAAGGACACGAGCACAAGGCATGTGGGATGCAACGTAGTTGTGCTATCGAAGCTTCTGCTAGGTGCCCAAAACCTCGGCGTTGAAGTTTTGTTAGTTGATTTCAGAGATGATGTACTGCGCAAAGATCATATTTGGGGGCTCATGCATACCCTAAAAACATGAAGTTGACTTGTTAGAAAGTTGATATGAGCCATTTATCTGGTAGTTGGTCAGAACCTCTGCACTCAAGCACCTTCACGCAAACCCCAAGCGCTTCAGATTCTATAACAGACAAAACATACCTGGACCTAGATCCATGTGCGCAGTTTTTTTTAACGGTTCCTGTTGGAGTGTCTGATTGGGTCCAACTCGCAGGATGGGCAAGTAGCATGTTGTGGAGAGGTTTGGCAGCCTTCTAACCTGGTACAGGTGCGACAATGCAACAGCGTCTGCAGAATTTCTAGCTGTAAGGTGAGTGAGTCAGCCCAAGGCGGAACCTCCAAACCTGCAATCTGACAAACCGGTTCAGGGACCTGAAGTTTAGCCAAGACAGAGCTATGAAGCAGCTGAACAAAACATGTGCCTCAGAAGTAAAAACTCTAAAATCATCAAGTCGGAGCCCGAGTCCTTTGGACAGCACGTCTATTGCAGCGGGCAGAATGCTGCAATACCTTTATCCACCCTCTAAGTTATATATTGCTTTGCAAGTCCTACTACTGCAGCAACTAGCGGGCTCAGCAGAAAGCTGAACCGCCAAAACAAATCCACAGGATTTGAGATCCTCCTCAATGTAGGGGAATTCTGGCTCTTTTTTGGGTCCCTATTAATCCCTTCCCCATATTAAT